GCAATTACCTGGTCATTTTTGTGCTGGGTTTTGGGCTGGATTTCCAGGGAGTCCACCCAGCTAAGCAGAGCTTGTTGCTGGGAGAACTCCCGGAGCCAGCGCCATGAATTTGGGTATATGTGCATGACTTTATATCAGAAATTGATTATGAAACATGAAGGAGGTCAAATATGAAGTGCGTTGGATATGTACAGCACAAGGGTGGCAATGTCTTCAAATATGTTTGTTACGTTAATATGTGTTTACGAAATGCTTGCGGATGATGTTCTTAACGATGGTTTTCGATACAGGGATATCAGCTATTCTTGGAAAATATGGAATCATAATGTCGTTCCACAGCTTAGGGCCAAGGCAGGATGCTGTAAATAGTCTATAATTACGATAAGAGAAAGGTTGTTCTAAATGTTTTGCTCGCCTCATATCCATGTCATTGGATTCGTGGAGATTGTAAATTAAATCGAATGATGCAGGGAGCTGTGAAGTTAAAAATTTGTGCATCACAAAAATTTGTGCATCACGATCACTCAGTTTTCTCCCCAGATTTGTCGCAATTTTTCGCATCTGGCCTCAGGGGTGTGGTTCCTCAAATTCAGTCCCTGGAGACTGGACCCCAAATTATGATAAATGAAAGATAATGGATAAAAATGATAGCTAAAAAGTGCATCCCTGGTTAGGAGGCACAACCCGCCCCCCCCCCCTTCCCCAACTGAATAGCGAACTACACGCCTTTAGGCTGGTTATGTTAAGTATGCCTTTATCGGAATATTCTGTTAGGTTTGTCTCAACCTTCATTCAGCGTCTGATGGCCACCAACTGAAACTTATGTACAAATGAAACCCTGCAACGAAAACGTTTCATGGTTATGTCGCATTGCATTTGAGTTGTCTTTGCTTTTCGTGATTTATTGCATATAATATATATTGCAACACTTTCTGAAAGATTTGACCCCAGGTGACAATTCTGACGGTTCCAAATTTCGTCGGTGACAGAAAAGGCGCTCCTTCACCCCCGGAGGTCTTGTCCACCGCTGACATTCGCGACTACTATGTGAGGAAGACTATTTTGTTGTGTGCCAAGCTGCGTTGATGCGCTTCACTTTTTTACCCCAAGCCGATGCTCGTGTGAATTGATTTGCCTCTAGTTCAGAATACAAAACAAATAAAGGCGTGCTTTGCCGGTGTATAGCGTCGTGAGATTCCACGCCTGGTGGTCACTACGCTGAACGCCACGCTGTGATGCTTCTGTCCAATCGGTGTCGAGCGTCACGCGGCGCGCGTCCGACCAGAGACCGGGTGACCCGACCGCGCGCGGTGCCGGTGGCCTGCAGGGGTCGAGCAGTCGTGACTGAAGGCCAGCAGCCGGTATTTTTGGACGTAAGACCATGACAGATCGGTCTGTTCGCGTCTGTAAGACCATGACAGATCGGTCTGTTCGCGTCTGTAAGACCATGACAGATCGGTCTGTTCGCGTCTGTAAGACCATGGCAGATCGGTCTGTTCGCGTCTGCGCGCAGCGAGTGCCAGGATTACCAGCTTGACGAGCAGGCATCCCTCTAAATGCCTTCTCAGGTGAGGCTTGTGCCGTGTGCACAACATCGGCAAATGTGCCCATGTTGGGCTCCGCTGAACCGCCCAGTAAATGTCTGAGCGTAACAGGTCTGCGCGTGCAGCTCCTGCTGGCCTCCGACCTGATGGAAAGATCTAACATGTTTTTATTTCGCTAGCGTGTGACGTGCTTTATTTTAAGGAAAAAGCTGACACTGAATGGGCCAGAAAGGTAAAAGTGGGTTGCCCTTCTTGACCATCATCATTTTGCCAGGAATCGGCATATATGATTCGGGATCTCAACAGAATGAACATAGCTCTCCAGCAAAAGTTAGCTATGAAAAGCAGATCCTTCACCGGGTGCAAACTGTCGAAGGGAGGAGCAACTGCCATGAAGCAGCAGCCTGTGTCTGGAAAACTGCTCAAGATGCGTTCTCGATACATTTTTTTTTCTGGGCTTTTCTGAAAACATCGTCTGTCAGCAGATACCCATATTCTGATTATTCCGTTCACTGCACCCGTCGATCAAGTTTCTAGCCACAAGCGAGCGGAGACTATCGTATTGAGGAGAAAGTTGGAAGTCCGTACTGAAAGTGTTCGCGAAGGTTGGAACAGGTTGAGCGTGGTCGGCATCAAAAGTAACGCACCTCTGATGCGAAATACGAAGCTAGTACTCAGCCATGCTTTGTTTTAAGTTAACCCTGGGAAACGGCATGCATTTGCGCTAGTGCCGAGCTTCTTCACATTGCCAGGCTCACCAGCACGGTGCGAATTTGCACCGACATGCTTCTCTGCCGTAGTTTAGCGGCCGTCCCGAACATGATTTCACCAACCCTTACTACCGCGCGGGTCAGGCGACCACGTGACGTGAACTGCGCACGTGAAGCCCGTGCACGCGGGATCGCCGCCCAGCCCGCGAGCTTTGTGCGGTTGCAGCATCCGAACAAGTGTCATTGTAGCATCGGCGCGCGTCAGGCCTGACGCAGTGTGACGTTCAGTGGTGGCGAACTGTGATCATTGTAGCATTCTACAGGATCGGCGAATGGCGAAAAATGCAGCATTCTACGGCGAATGAGTTATACCCGACATCTTTGCGTATTCGCTGAGCGTTATCCGCGGCAGGAACACACGGCGTATCATCGCAAGGAGGTCAGCGCTGTCGAGAACAAGCCCACGGAGGACGTGTCAGCAAAGGGTGTCCCGGACGACGTGATACAGCACGCAACTTAAGCGTCCGAACCAAACGTTTTGTGGTTGAGAATTGGTCAGGTGGCGAGCTTTTAGAGCTGAAAGCTTTCGTTTTTCAGAACTTTGCTGGCCAGTTTGCAGCTGGTCAATTTTTTTAATGAGCCCAAAAAGTTGAAAAGTGACCACGTGCCTCACGGCAATCGATGGCAAAGAGCCGAATCAAGACGTCTCGTCCTCCGACCAATCCTGAAAAGGCTCCTCTGCCTCTGGGTACACATAAAATAAAATAATAGTTGCAGCATAGCGATAGTTCAAACTCGTGTTGTGTTGACACGTCTGCCCTGGAGCGACGAAGATTGACGTGGCCTGACCTTCCTGGTTCCGAGGACCGCCGCTGACCGCTGCGGTGACAGCCGTCTGACCGCCACCGCATGCATCACGTCACACAGAAGGTCCGACCAGTTGACTCAGGGGCCGCTCACCGGGGGGCGACAGCCTGGACAAACAGAAGCCGCTGCCATGCAGCAACACGTCAAACGGTGAACCAGTTGTCTGTTTGTATGTGCGACATTGGCGTTTTTTGAGCGTACATCGTTTTGAAAATATCGTCAGTGGCGCACTCGACCAGGATACAGGTGTGAGAATGACCGCTTCGTTGCGCCACACGTTTGCATGCTCTCTCCTAAGCCTCGAGGGACTGGCGAGGACGGTGTTTGGCACCCGTGCCCACTGTGGCTGCCAACGCTTAGCGCCATCTTCCTCACACTGTTGTGCCTTATGTTACATCTATTTTAAAGACTTTCCGACAATTTTGTCAGGTCAGTGATGGTTCAAAGATGTCAGGTCAATGAGTGAGATCAGTTTTGGCTAAGCTTTACTAGATCACAAGACATCTGAATATAGCAATTTCCTAATGCGATTCATCCTTTTGCCTGGCCAGTGTCTCTACACATCACTGCCTGGTTTCCAAAAGGTAGCGTGATGCCCTCTGTGGCCACTGAAGCAAGTTAGCTTTTACCTCCAGTCATTAGGAATTTACTCCCTAAGTGCGAATTGTGTCGACTTCGCCATGCCTAGAGTTGGCGGATTCTGATTGATCACTCAAAGCGTGCAAGTCGACGACTGCTTGAACTGGGTCAAAAGTCAACAGAATATAATTAATACTAAACACGACATTGTCGTTATGAAATCAATATGATTAAGGATTTCTTTGCGTTTACAGTCGTTTTTCGATATGCTGGAAGTCATTAACTTCAGAGGGTTTTTAAAGCACTAGAGGGCAGTGACGTTTAGAGGCCTGTAATACACCAGAACGCACTGGCTATACGACGCTTTTAGTCAAACGACGGCTGCATTTTGAAAACGCGGTGTTCTTAGCTGTGCTCATGGTCACAAGTAAACACGTTTGAGCAAAAAAATAAAAAAAAAATAAAACAAAGATATGTGAAAACAGAAAATACCCAAAACCTGTACAGTCTCTGTCATTAAGAAGCCTTTTCCTGCCGGCTGTGGGGTCCACGTTAACCTGTGGAGGGAGGGCAGATTCTACTTTCCCCTCCCCCATCCCCGATAAGTTGGAAAGAACCGCTTGTCCGCTGTTGATGGGACAAACTCCATACTTTTTGTGTTGTGGAGATATTCATTCCTAAGCCATAAATATTCCAAAGAAATTAAAGACAATGGTCAGGCGATAACCCTAATTATTTCCCCTTAAAGTTTTATGTTAAGCACTCACTTCTCAAGTTTAAAGCTCGTTTAGCCGTGAGACATGCTGCTCATGATCCGCAAGTTTCCACCAGTTTGTTTTCTGGAAATGGCCAAGCTGCTTCGAATGGTAGGATTTGTGTTGCAAATGGATTGGATAAAGGTACTTTTTAGCGCATCAGGAAACAAAGAACTTTGCTGACCACTCTCAGGAACAAATTCCCTGTCACATTCAATCAGGTCACTGGAACCAACATTTCAAAGCAGCAAGGGTCTTCCGAGGTCATATGATGTTTGTAAAATCGCCTTCAGGGTTTCTCCGAACTAATAAATACATTTGCCTCAAGAATTTCAAGATAAAAACATACACTTTCTCTCTCTCTCTCTCTCTCTCTCTCTCTCTCTCTCCTCTCTCTCTCTCTCTCTCTCTCTCTCTCTCTCTCTCTCTCTCTCTCTCTCTCTCTCTCTCTCTCTCTCTCTCTCTCTCTCTCTCTTCGTGGTTCAGTTGGACGACGCTGCACCGATTGGTTTTTCCACGTGTGACCTTCTCATGTTCTGTTTCAGTCGGACGCTGCTGACAGTAGTGTTGTTCGTGTGTCGCGGAATGGTGGCAGGCGTCTTCCAGGTCGCCTATGTCTACACTCCGGAGGCAAGTCAGGGAACGACACCAGACTGTTAAGCAAGCGCGGACGGCTTGTCACGATTCGGTCTTGACTGTGCTATTGGTGTGCATCAACAAGGCAAACAGATTCAGAGCCGATGGCACGCCGCTGAGCTTTACTTGTAATGCACAAAGGTAAACAAGCTTACAAACACTCGTGTTATGAGATTTCTGGAGGAATATATCGAATCAATTAGAGAACAATTATTTTTGTCCGGTCCCGTGGCGGACTAGTTTTTCAAAGCACAACAAATATTTGAAGCAATTTAGCTTACATACCGGGAGTCTAAAATCCAAACCGAAAGCTAAGAGAATCCTCGCGCGCTCGGGCACACCCTTGCAGGACAAGTTAAAGATCACATTATCGGGAACAAGAGGCCGTGCGTCAGTGCGCATTTCTGTGTTTTAAAAACCCTGTCACTTTTTCTGTTTTGGTAGACTGGTTCACCCACACGTAGCAAACCGTTTCACCGTTGGATCTTTTTTCAAGTTTAAAGACAGGCTTCACAAATGTCCGGTCGTTGCAGTCATTTATAAATATTGCTGTGCCTCGCGTGTAGCATTTTAAGTGAGTTCACCCCTTCGTAGCGTGCGCTGCAGAGTACACTGCAAACACGCGCAGACAAAGACAGCCCGTGGCTTTTAGGTCTCTAGCTATCTTAGTTTCTAAGATCTCCTAGGAGTCAAATTGATCCCGCCACCCGAGCGAAGGGTATTCAACCGACCACCCAGTAGTGTGTCGACCTATTCAACCCCCCAGTGGAGTACAGTGCAAACATTTCCTTTAAGGAGACTATTCCATATTTGTGAGGGGTTTTGAAGTGAGACAGCCATACTCAAGATAATTCCCGGCAGTTCGCAATCATGGCCATTGTAAGAATTCAAGTCCTCTCTTTTCTGAACTAGGCGCACGAGAACTTGTGCAGACTATTTCGTGCCGCCTTATTTGAAGTTACCCAGACACGCTCGACGTCATGGAAACACCTTACGAATTCTGCCTCCCCAATGGCCGCATTGTGTACAGGTTAAGACAAAATGACTATATATATATATATATATATATATATATATATATATATATGATATGAGCATTTACTTATTCGTATCTGAAGCAACTCAGCGAGTGGCTTCCAACCGACTCAACACGTTACATGTAAGTCTTGATCACAAATGGCGTTTTGCGATACACAATTCAGGCATTTGGGAACTTCTACCAGGACATGAAGGACATGAAGGAAAAAAACGGAAGACATGAAGCTGGAAACAAATACCCTAATACCGCCCGAGCGGCCGGTTGAACACCCTTCGCCCGGGTGGGTGGTCAGTTCGATCCTCTGGGATCTCAGAAACTAAGGGAGCTAAATGCACCAAAAGCAGGGTGTCACATTCTGTACGTGAACTCAATTACTTCAAAATCTGAGGTTCTTAGATCATAACCTTCGGGCCAAATAGGGCCAAACAAGATCAAACTCCAGGTTGGTGCTCAAAGTACCCTAAAACTTCTCATGCAAACTCCGTAAACCTAGATATCTTCCAAGGAAAAGGCCACTGGTGCTCATGTAAAACCAGTGACCTTGTTTGATTTTTCGAAGGTCATGCGTATCAAAGTCGTACAACACAGCTATGCTTTTTGCATTTGAATAAGCGTCAAAGATTAAGCTAACCGGTACGTTCCTACGACATGTCGACCTAGGCCATTTTAGGTCAGTGACTTTTTCTGACCTCTCAGAAGTTCATGGAAGACGTAAAATGAGGTTCTCGTTATCAATACATGCAAAATGAGCATCAGGAGCCTCCCTATACACCAATCTCTAGAGAAAAAAGCAGATTGTTTTTGACCATGGTTTAGCCCTCATACCGGACTCTTGGTTAATGTAATTTGCTTTTTTAATTATTGTGTTGCCTAAGAAACTATCTCAGAGACATGCTACTTCGTCTCACACTCCGTTGTTGCGTCAGATTGAACGATTCCCTAGAAATCGTTTTCGCCGTATCCATGTCCTGACTTTGACCTACCGTAGGTCAGCGACCTTGCGAGGTACGCCTAAACTTTTATACCAAACGATCCGCTCTTCAGTTGTCTACAACCAGCCAAGATTTGGCACGGCTATAACGTGCCGTTCGAAAGCTTTCCCTGAAAAGCTTTGGGGTCAAATTGACCTCCATCCGGGCGCGTGTTCCGCCGGGTGGCCGGTTGAGTACACTTTACTGGAGGTCAGTTGGACTTCCTGGTATCTAAAAAGGAAAGGAGCTAGAGACACAACATTCTTGGGGTGGGGCGGTATGTATGTGAGCTCGCTTGCTACAAATTTTGATATTCCTAGGCCATGACCTTGGGGTCAAATAAGGTCAAACCAAGTTGAACTTGAAATTGGTGTCTTAAGTGCTCCCAGGCCTACTTACGCAACCGTCGTGAACCTAGATACTTGCTCTAGGCAAAAGGTCACTGATTTTCATTAAAGGTCAGTAACTGTTTTACCTCTAGAGGGTTAAGGTGACAATCATGTATCTAATGCATGTATTTGTATGCCTAATGCTTCTCGCTGTGCCCATGGCCGTGAGTAATAATGAGTTTAGGATTCGAGGAAACTTTGACCTGGCATGGTGTTCAAAATCAGATCTGCGGGTCTTGAGATCTGGGCACTGGTTTTCATTTTGGGTAGGTAGCTTTTTCATCTCTAGAGGAACAAGGTGACAAAAAACTACAAGTTCGCTTCTATTTCATCATTCTAATAATCAGCAGGGATTATGTAGGCGGTATGTTCTTAAAACATGCTGACCTTAAAACATGCATGCTGACCTGGGTTATTTTAGGTTAGTGACCTACTCTGGCCTTTAAAAAGTACACGAAACATTCCTGTTACGGTTCCTGCTATCAATGCATTGGAAATAAACACCAAAAACTATCCCTTTAAGCGGGTTCTCGAACAAAAAAACAGGTTACTTTTGGCATCAGTCGTACCCTCGTACCTAAGCAACGTCAACGAAACTTGTTTTAGTTTTAATTGCAACTGTTTCATTGCATAAGAAGCTATCTCCGAGAGATATGACTTCGTCAACATCTCGTTACCGCATCAGATTGAACGATGCCCAAGAAATGGCCTGTGTTGACAGCACGGCCTGATTTTGATGTGCCATAGGTCAGCGACCGTTTAAGGCACATCTAATTTTCGTACCTAATGATCCGTTTTTCAGTTGGCTACAGTCGTGCAAAGTCTGGCCGCGCCGTTCCGAAACCATAGTGAAAAACCTTGGATGAGTGAGATTGACCCCCGCCGAGCGCGTGTTCAGAATAGCACCGTAACTGGTGATGGAAATGCAAGTAAAAACCCGTCATTACGGAAAAATATGCGCGAAGCCACAAAAAAGACAAAACACGCGAAAATAGGAATGGATGATTTTTCACACGCAGAGATCAACAAATCACTTTGCGGTGAGTCGAAGCAATGCGAATGAGTCAGCTAAATCACTTCGTTAACAGTTCTGACGCGGCCAGTCTGGCAGCGACTTTGATGTCATAGAAATTCTCCATGACGCCATTAAACGGTAACATATCCGGGCGAATATTGACTAAATACAGAGCTTGTGTTAAAACGCGAGCTGATAGTTACAAGTAAGCTGTCTTCATACCTGATGCTTGCCGAAATTTCCTAAATTCCCTATATTCTCCTACACAGCTTTGAGAGCCAATTGAAGGCCGTTTGATCTGGAAATCGTGCTCACGAACGCTAGATATGCACGACTTGATGCTCACATTTGTTTTACCTGGATCGTCCCATGGTTAATGGAATGGCAGGATCTGAATGACATTGTTATGGCGTCGTGGATGCGCAGGCGACTTTGATATAGCCTCCTCCAAATAGTCTACACGTTTTCGCAGGCGTGTAGCTCATAAACTAGCTACACACGTGCGAAAGTAAAAGGAAGTGGGGTTTAGTTTTAAAGAAGGTGAATTTAAAGGGAAGGGGGTTTAGGTCTTAAGAAGAGCAGGGCAGCAAACTACCGCATGATCTTCAAGATGGCAAGTTCGGTAAAACCCCACACAAATGTTGAACACTTCCTTAAAGTAGCGCCCTGCCGCCGCCACTCGTCGCCAACCACGCCTGATATTTCCTGTCATCGCCTCGCTCATCTCGTGCCTCACAAATCGTGCCGTCGAGGCAACAGAGCTTTGGTTGGTTCCAGGTATACCCAACAGAGCATCGGTTGGTTCCAAGTATACCTAACAGAGCTTTGATTGGTTCCAGGTATACCCAACAGAGCTTTGGTTGGTTCCAGGTATACCTAACAGAGCTTTGGTTGGTTCCAGATATACCCAACAGAGCATCAGTTGGTTCCAGGTATACCCAACAGAGCTTTGGTTGGTTCCAGGTATACCCAACTCATCTGCGGGCTATCGGCTTGGGCTGCTGTGGGGGCGTAAGCCGCTTTGGGGCCATGATCACACCGATCGTGGCTCAGGTACGTTCCATTACCCTGACGTGGGACACGTGTGCGGCTGGCAGGACTGAGGGTGGTATCAGGAGGCCCCTGATGGACATACCCCTAGCGCCCTGGTGAATTACGCCGAATGGTCCATGTCGATGCAGTAACCATGCAAATAGGTCTCACGGTGACATGTCACAGTTATCAAACGATGAGCGGGCAGCTTCAGTGTCCAGTGGTGCGCCGCCAGGTTGCCTACTGGAGACCACTTTGATAGCGTATCAATTTACGATTTCCTTCAATCGCGCTGTTCACCCCAAAACCGTAACTCATATCCATCCACCATCACCAAGTATTGGTGCGCATGTTGGTCGGAACACAGCACTAGTGTACCCTTGTTGCGATCGCACTGATAACCTTACGTCACCGCCCAAGCACCGAGGCGCGGCTCAAGTGCACGCTAGCGTGGCTGCATCGCTCGTCCAGACTCCCTTCCCAGGCACATGTTACGGCGGCACTGCTAGTGCATCGATTCGGTGCACGGCCCCTGCACTGGCTGGTGTGACTACAGTGGTAGGCCGGGCTTGCTCCCCAGGTGCTGGTGACTGTCTCCGTGCGGTACACGGCGCTGGTGTACGCCGGCGTGGCATCCCTGGCAGCGGTCAGCGCGCTGCTTCTGCCCATCGAGACTGGCGGCCGGGACATGGAGTAGCGCTTCTTCCCGACCGGACGAGCGGGCCGCGCCGGCCGCCACCCTGCGGCTGACTGCCCCCTCTGGAGCAGTTCGGAGACGAGGACCGGACGAGCGGGGACGCGCTGGTCGCCACCCTGCGGCTGGCTGCCCCCTCTGGAGCAGCTCGGAGACGAGGACCGCACGAGCGGCGCCGCGCTGGTCGCCCTGGAGCGGCACGGAGACGAGGACCGGACGAGCGGCGCCGCGCTGGTCGCCCTGGAGCGGCTCGGAGACGAGGACTGGACGAGCGGGGCCGCGCCGGCCGCCACCCTGCGGCTGGCCGGCCGCCCTGGAGCGGCTCGGAGACGAGGACTGGACGAACGGGGCCGCTCTGGAGCAGCTCGGAGACGAGGACTGGACGAGCGGGGCCGCGCCGGCCGCCCTGGAGCGGCTCGGAGACGAGGACTGGACGAACGGGGCCGCCCTGGAGCAGCTCGGAGACGAGGACTGGACGAGCGGGGCCGCTCTGGAGCAGCTCGGAGACGAGGACTGGACAGCATTCCGCAGGCATTGGGACTGTCGCCAGCAGGACTCTGTTGCCTTTCATATGCGTGTGCTGTTATAAATGATAATATTGGCGAGGGCTCTATGCGGTAACCATGAATGTGTTTTAAAAATGTGGTCCACAAATTCTCGTGGAGATCGGAAATTATACTCGTCTTCCACTGTCTATGTTCCGTGGGGCATATTTTGCGATGCATTCAGCCGCAGGCAGAACAGGCCGCGCTGTGCGGAACAGGCCTGAGCGACCTAGCATTGCGCGATTGCGCTAATAGTACGACGCCCTACCTCGCAGTGGACTTAAGAGCGAAGTTCACTACGTTGTGCTGGCTCACCTGTCAGCGTTCAAAATAAACGGGTGCATCGTCACGACCTTTGACACGCGCTCGGGTCCGGGGAAACCCACTTAAGCCTCAGACAGTTTTCCAGAATAACTTTGGAACGACGCGATGTAGCGGTGCAAAGTTTTGGATAGCTGTAGGCAATTCAATAACCAATCGGTCGGAACTAAATTTAGATGCCGTTGGAACCTACCTGACGTACGACAGATCGAAGTCCGGTCATGACTGCCACCGAAGGCAATTCCTAACGAAGCGCGCAATCTGATGCGACAACGGAGTGCGAGACAAAGCAATACATATTTGAAACGGTTTCTTAGACAATAAAGCAACCTAAAGTCAGGACGGCGAAAAATTCCTTTGATCATGGATTATGACCTTTGACCTATGAAGGCAAGGCCGCGGTCAAAACCAACTTGCGTTTTTCCTGGGGACACTGCTTGCGGTGGCAGCGTTTGACGTTCATTTCGAATTTCTTTATCACAGAGACTTCAACAGATGTGTTAACTGGACCTGGCAAAGGTCAGAGAGGTCACCGACCTAGAATAAGTCCGCACAACCATTTGTTTTTAGAAACACATTGCCCCGCGTAATTATTGACGCTTATCAAGGCTTTACACAAAGACAATCTTGAAGGCCTCTGGTGACCGTGATCTTGGAAGGTCAAACAGAATCCCTGTACCAAAATAAACAGTACTGATCTGTTATTTAGAAGATGCATACGGGTTACAGATCGTTGCATGAATAGGTCTGAGGTAATTTCGGACACCAGTCAGAAGGTTGATCTTGTTTTACCTCATTTGACCCGAAGGTTATGACCTGGGGACCTGAATATCTGCCATGAGTTCACGCACATGCCTATTTACGCTGCAACTTTGGTGATTAACTCCCGTAGTTCTTTGGGTCTCAAGGGGTCAAACCGACCCTTATCCGAGGGCGCCGCACTTAACTGGCCGGCCAAGTGCGGGCTAACGGCCATCCATCAATTATGTTGGGCATAGATGAGGGGGGACATTTGATGGAGCGTAGCCGAAACGGAACAAGTGGGAGACGTGAGATAAACAGTGTAATGCCATACTTAGGTAACCGAGTGGATGCCAAGCATAACCAGTCTCTAAAAAGTTTGAGCAGCACACATGGGAGGGGTTCTCGCCCAGCGCAAGCAGTGCGTGATCAAGGGTAAGCGACAAAATGTGTCATATAATGTATGTACCACCCCCTATGACTAAGTTGAACCGTCCTTAGTCGACTAACCAGAGGCTGGGTCATTCACCTACTTCCAGCCTGGCAATGACGTCAAGTTTCCTGCATCCTGAAGTCGAAGGATTCCAGCCAGGCACTGACAGCTCGAACGCCAATAGTTCAGTCATTAATTGCATTCACTACAGGGGCCATGACATACATCGCACGCACAAACAGCACACGTGTAATCGAACGCAGTCGATTCATGCGCACCACCAAACCAGCCCGAGTTTCAGCAGCGGCAGTCGCTTCCTGTTTGTGTTCGCACCCACCATGTGCCGCCGGGCTCGGCCCGCGCCCACCGCTGCTGCCGCCTGTATCGATGCCGGTCCGCCGCTGGCGCCACCTGCACCGGTCCCAGGCCCGACACTGACGCTCACACCCGCTCGGCGTGAGCCTCTGTCGGCGGCGGATCCACGTCGGCCTGCGCCTGCGCCCGCGCCGGCTCCAGCAGCGCCGCGAAGTCGATGTCAAACTTCTCGGGCGCCGGCTGGCACCAAGAGGAGACGCGCGTCACGAACGGGCGCGTGTGCCCGCGTGGCCGAGCCGCCTGCAGGTCGGTCAGCAGCGCGGTCAGGTTGGCGATCAGCTGATCGGTCGGCATGCTGAGCTTGCCGACGGGCGCCACCACCTGGGCGAAGTCCGGCTGCCGCTCGTCGCGCTCCGAGGCGTACTCAAGGCCCGAGCGGAAGCGGTCGACGGCCGCCGCCAGGTCGACCGTCAGGCTGCCGTCGCGCAGGCTAGGGAAGCGACGCCGCAACAGACCGCGGATCGCCACCAGCTCCGACATCATCTCCGGGTGCGCCACGAAGTAGTCGAAGTCGTCGGCCATCATAGCGCCGCTCTGGAACTGCTTGATGAGCTCGCTGCCGCCGTACACCGTGACGCCGATCTGTTCGGCGAGCTGGCGCGCTGCGGCCGACTGGCAGAAGACGGCCACCTCGCGTGGCGCCGCGAACTCGAACGCGTGTGGCAGCGTCACCACCTGGCGCACTGGGTCTGCGAAGCGCGTCCGCTTGTCCATCTGCATGTCCAGCTCGATGGTGGCGAACAGCAGTTCGTGCGGCCGGTTGTAAACGGTCGGGTGGTGCGTCTCGCGGTGCATCTCCACCGCCTGCTCCATCCTATACTCGGGCCAGCGGAACCAGTTGCGCACGTACACGTCATCCACCGGCTCCGGCAGGCGGTAGCGGTTGACCCTGGCGGCAGGCGGCGGCGCGCGGTCAGAGGGCACGGCGGCGCGCCGGTACCGAGCAGGATCCGCCGACTAAGGCCCAGACGAGCGGGCATCGGCAGGTGACAAGCGGAGCGCAACGGCGGCGCTGCCCGCGGGGGAAGCGCAAGATAGGACGAACAACGAATCATGGCTGATATCAGCATAAAGCGGCAAAATAACCTCCCCACGCACGACATTCAAACGCCGCTGCGAGCACGCGGTCACATTACGGTGCCTTATCTCGTTATCATGGTTGAGCTAACTTATTCTTTGGAGGAGGCATGTACCCCCGAACTAATTTCAACATTGAGCTGAGCTTCGCGGGAAGGGATACAGAGAGCGTACAGGGAGGGTTTCAAATATAGTGAGGCTAAGCCTACAACTCGTTTGCAATTATACTACTTGCGAACAGTTCACTGCGATATCGGAGTGATTTCAGCGTTTGTCTAATTAGGCAATTTCAGTATCAAAGCGATTTCAGGGTTTATCTAATCAAGCAATTTCAGACACGTAAGCATGACAATTTTATCGGTTTTCGGTGCTTCCATGTGATCAAGTATTTCATCGGAGGTAGCGCAAATTACTTTTTACCTCTGTCCACTAGTGCACACAGTCCGTCTAGCATTCGATGAACAACTACAAAAAACGGAACGGGTGATTCAGCTGTCAGCGCTGGTCGACAATTCCAACTCTGAGGCAGTACCGAGGACGCAAAAAGCAATTCTCAGCAGGACTTTTGGGAACTTTGGAAACCTACCAACTCCATTTAACCCCAAATTTTGTCATGTTCTGCTGCTGACGAGTATGACGCATTGTCACTTCAACGCCCCAGGTTACCTCAGGCCACGTGATGCGCCACCCGAACTCGCGACAGGGACTACGCATCGCCGCCGGGACACGCCCACGGCCCGCGCTGGTCCAGTCACCTTCTGTCCGGGTACGGCTGCTGGTTGAGCAGCTCGGCGCGGCGCACGTTCTCCGGCACCCACTCCGTCTTCACCTCCTCCTTCTTCACGATCTTGGCTTTCTTGCGTTCGCGCGTGCCCTTCCGGGCGGCGGCGAGCGGCGCAGACGTGGAGACGGCGCGTCGAGCTTGCGTCAGCAGCGGGCCGCCCAGCCGACGCAGCGGAGACAGCATGGCGCGCCAGGCTGAAGTGCGTCGAAGCATACGCGCGTTATGCGCCAAGCCGCCGACGCACTGCCATGCACTGGTGTATACGCCACAGCAGGCAGCGGCAGGTCTGCCGTGTGCACTCACAGCGGCTCCTGGTGCCAGACCATTGCTGGATGGGGCTTACAACATGGCACACTTGGAATGGGGTGGATTGGGCTTAACAGATGTGTGGTCCTACCAGCCCAGCCCACACCAGGTGGCAGATGGCTGCAGTGAGCTGGACTACAATGGATTGCACAAAAGGTTGCACAAATCAATACATTGTGTCCGCTGCATGTGCGGTGTGCGGGACAGATTACCGATACCTTGGGGCCAGTGAGGGAACGGGGGGGGGAGGGGGGGGGGGGGGGGGGCAGGCCGGGAGAAGAGGGCGTCATGACACTATGAAATGCTCATGCGCTACGGCATGCTTATAGCAGAAAGAGCATGGTGCATACAAGTCAGAATACATGCCATAAGGTGGCATACTGTATCCACCTTGATATGACCATGAAGAGCATGGAAATGCAGCAACACTGCAAACCTGGTGTCATTATACACCTATGAACAATGCAACTATGCAATGTGCCAGGTAACAGCAAAATGTATCCAAACCTGCAGCTGCCAGTCAGTCTGAACATGGCCCCATGAGGCAATGTGTACAATGGTGAAGTGGTCCAATGTTGTTGGATGTGACCAGAGTGAACTGGCCGCCGCAGGAGTTTTCCATGCATGCAGTTACACTGTGACCTGCTGGGCTCTGGGGTCCCCCCCCCCCCAGGACAGCTGTCACCATGTGGGGCGGTCAGGCAGACCATGCTGAACATGTGTGCCTCGAGAAGGGAGGACTTGCTCAGGGGCACAGTGTGCATGGTCACCATCAAAAGAATGTGAGCACGGTTCAGAGTGAACCATATACCTATCTTGGTTCACTTAATAAGGCCATGCATGGTTGCCATCAAAAGGATGTGGGCATAGTTTGCAGAGTGAACCATATATCTGTTTTGATTCACTTAACAATCAGATGCCTGGGTGGGATGAAAGTCGCTGGGGTGACAACCTGTGTGCATTGAGGCATGATGTGCACCATGGGATCTGGATCTGCCACAGCACCCTGTTATCAGGCTTAGGTCAACTGGACATCTTCAACAGTAATCAAGGTCAGACAAACCTGCAAAACATGTTTCTTGCATTGAGTGTGAGCACAGTCAGATAACTGTTGATTTACAAAAGTTATTTCATAATGGCTCAGTGACCACTAAGTCAAATTCACTATTTCACCACACAAATTCAAAATGTATCAGCAACACCAGAGCTAACACTACACATCTCCTGAATGCATCAGCTACATCAATTTGTTCTGCATAAAGCATGATCCTGTCAACAGATTTATAAAAATTTTGGACTGCTTCTGGCAGATGTGTTACTCATTCAGCTCACCACTTGATCCTTGCACCAATGTTAAGGCAGCATGCCCTATAATTCCTTTAGTTACTTATTTTTGTATAAGTGCCTTACTTCATCCCTTTATTTTCTTTAGCTTCCTTTCTTATTTGTGTTCTTGTCTTGTCACAAGTTTTGCCTGAGACTTGTCACAACTGACAAACTGAGCAATGGTGTATTTACTCTCATAAAATAAGAAAGCTTTCAAAGAAGGGAATTGTGTTTTTGGCAGACCCAATCCATATGCAGCACAGGGCACAATGCATAAGTGAAAAATGCTGAACAGTCGATTTGTGCCCATTGTGTTAAGAGTATCCCCTAATACTATGTTTGCCTGCTTTAGGATCACAAGGTGCACACTGAGAACATGACTGTATGAATAAGGCAGAGAAACCCTTTTCTTGTTATATTCTCATTGCTCCTTTTTCTTACTGACCTTAGGTCCTTTCACTAACTTCCGACTCTTAGGCACTGTGGCATAGATGTTGAGTTGAATACAAAAACATGGTGGGCCACCTGTACTACCGGCGTAGACCTCACACTTTTAAAGACCAGTCTCGTCTCCCGATCAATTCATCTGGTGTGAAATTTATACAATACCGGTATAACCTGATAAGAAACAGATTTAAGAATGCTTCGAACGCCTCCAGTTACTTTCATGCTCCACACAATGACAAAAATTGCGTTTTACCTCACGCTCCCCAGTCGTCAAATCAACCAACGTGCGGAGCAGCGGGCAGTTGACTATGCGAGGAAATCAAACATTTTCAGCTGTTTGTGACGTCACAAAGCCAAGAACCACAGCTAGCTTGGTGGCATGTCTGCAGGATCGGACGGTGTGGGATGGAACCGATCAAAGAAGCTGAATAGAGCCGATCGACATTGGACGGGAAAGGACGGGTCTAGATGGAACCGGATGGAGCGAAATGAGACCAGACGAGACCAGGCAGCTCCGGATGGACCGAACAGACGGGATGGGACCAAACGGGCTTGGAAGTGATGGAACCAAACCGAGTTGGATCTGAACTGCAGTACCGGACGAGGCGAATGGAAACTGGACGGTGCCGGATGGAGCGTAATGAGCTCGCTGACGAGACCGGGTAAAATCGAAAGAGACCGGATCGGACCGGACGACGGTGGCGCACGGGGCTGGACGGCGTTACGCGAATTTATATTTTGTATTTCTCTCTCTGTGCTTTCTTCAACCTTTGATTCTTGGCGGTATCCCCTCATACTGACCACCATTGTGTGACGCGGGTAATTTGCACATCGCTGTTTTCTTCAAATTGATTTTTGACGTCCACATGACTAGGAGCGAATTGAGACTTTTCTTCATTTCTTCACAATCGAATCATAATTATCCGATAAATGCTCACCGTTACAAACGACAATCACAAGACTCCCAAAGCCCATATCACCTCAAAGCAGCAAGGATCGTGACTGACTTTAAAGTGAAGGCGAAGTTCCTGTATGGTTTTTGAAATTACGTACTATCACATAGCGCTGGTGTAATGCATAATGCATTGAATGCGTTGATGGATACTAATCAGCGAGGTGATAGCGCTGCTTCGTCGAAATAAACACTTTTATAAGTATCTAATTTAGTTGGTTAGATAAGCTGTGCGGGTGTGAATCATTGGCTATATCCAGCCCCCCCCCCCCCCACGCACTGCGCCTCCCATATTGAACCCGTCATTGTCGCTTTATGACACTCGCAGCTATTCAAACTACATGGCACGTGACTGTACTCACTAATTATTAATCTCACAAAAGAAACGCTCCTTGAGAGTAATATGTTTATCAGGATTAATCACATTTGTTTGAATTTATCTCACCTGTTACAGTAAATGGCACCGGTGGTTCGCTTGCCCATTATATTGGTTCGCAGGCAATTATCATCGAGAAAATTATTTGTTATAAACTGACTAGCTGGATGAGTGCAAATGGTGGCGGCAACATTGGCTAACCAACAATATATGAGCTTTTACGAAAAACATGTGTTCTGTGTTTAAGGCTCACTACAGCATCATCACGTAGCTCACTCTATCGCCTTTGAACTGTGCCGAAATTTCTCATCGGCTCACAATGCCCTATCGCTAGCCACGAGGAACCCTTGCCTTTGTGACGCGTAGGCCTTCCTCCGTCGCTACCCGTTAGGGGTCATTCAGTAAAGTAACTGTAATGCATATAACCCCTCGTGACAAATTTGTCACGAGGGCTTCTTTTTTCCAATGGAATGGTTCTTCAAGGTAGCATTCCATTGGAAAGTCTGTGGGTAGGGTTGGAACGCGTGGAAAGTTTTCATACCCAAATATATATATGTGTGTGTGTGTGTGTGTGTGTGTGTGTGTGTGTGTGTGTGTGTGTGTGTGTGCGTGCGTGCGTGTGTGTGTGTGTGTGTGTGTGGTGTGTGTGTGTGTGTGTGTGTGTGTGTGTGGTGTGTGTGTGTGTGTGTGGTGTGTGGTGTGTGTGTGTGTGTGTGTGTGTGTGTGTGGTGTGTGTGTGTGGTGTGTGTGTGTGTGTGTGTGTGTGTGTGTGTGTGTGTGTGTGTGTGTGTGTGTGTGTGTGTGTGTGTGTGTGTGTGTGTGTGTGTGTGTGTGTGTGTGTGTGTGTGTGTGTGTGTGTGTGTGTGTGTGTGTGTGTGTAAAACGCCGTATATGGTTTTATGCAAGATAAATGTATTGCCGTAGAAATACGGACCAACTACGGCGTGACCTGCCTCATCAAAAGTCTGAGACCACACCTTATACCTTGATCTGTTTTTTTTCTCAATGACCGTTCATTGAAACATGTAGGCAATCATATGGCTGGAGTTAGCACGCGATTTAGCGTCAAATATTAGCGAAACATCTCTATATCAGATGTGCTTATTAGGACGATAAATGCTCGCGAAGGAATGCACTACATATAACAGATCAACGATAACATGCGAATGCATGATCTCAAAGCTCTGTGGAACTTTTTTAAGCTACATCAAATTCAACGCGATGCTATGTGATAAGTGGACAAGGGCTGGGAGCCTCAGGAAAACGCCAAAAGGTCACCGATCCTCCCGCCAGGCATACACTTTGTGGGGTCGTAGGTGCCGAGCGCCCGGCCGTCGATGCACCAGGCCGATGAGGTCTCCCAGCACCGCGAATGACCGTCTGAATATCGGAATCCCGAGTGAAAAAGTCCCCCCCCCTCCGACAGGATTGGCGTATTCAACGGAAATGTTCCACATTTGACGATATTGAAGCTAGCATGAGGCATGATGAAATAAGCTTACTTATAACGCCCGTTATTCGTTAAATGGAAAAGACTGCTTCACACAATGCAATTTCTATGTAAGTAAATATGCTTCTCAATACATCATTCTTTAATTGCCTCATCGTACCTTGCACAGCATTGATTCAGAGCTAATTGACAGCCGTCATATCAGGAAATCGTGCTCACGAACGTCAGGTTATATTTTGTTGGTCTTGATCGCCGTATGTCTAATGAATTGACAAAATTTGAATGACGTTATTTTGACGTCATGTATGCCTGGGCGACCTTGGCATAGTGTCCCCGAAATAGTCCGCACATCTTCGTGGGTGTGTCGCTCAGAAAGTCGAGGAGATTAGGTCTTAGGAAGGCCAGGACTACCGACTGCACGGAATGATCTTCCCGATGGCTAGTTAAGGTCAAAAACCCTTGCAAATGTGAGACACTTCCTTCACTGGACCGCCCCCTCTTGATCGTCCTGGCGCGCATGCCCGAGGCGAGCGCCCCCGGTCAAACATAACAAAAAACCGTGCTCGCACATTACGAAAAAAACGAGCGTGTGGTCCGTAGCGGATACATACTCCGCGTCTAAACTTAGCATTTTTTATGCCACCCCGTGATTACATATTTTGATACACACCGTCAGGATAACCGTGCTTGCGCATTGAAAAAATATGTGGTCCGCAGGGAATGTTTGCGCTGGAAGCCACAGGACCATACAGGAGACGGAAAGGGGTGCCATACTTGAACACACTGGTGACAGAAGGAACAACTGCACAGCATTAGAAACGGAGCTCCGTGTCAAGCCCATCAACTCTGGCATAATTCTGCACTGTGAATCTGTGCGTCCAGCTTCCACTACGTACAATACAAGTAACACAATGTTCAAAATGGCTCTAAACACGGCTGGAGATTGCTCTCCGATGGTGGGGACAGATGTGTGTGTGTGGGGAGGGGGGAGGGGGGGTGGTCCGGACCCAGGTGACCCGGGCCATTGGAGCCCAGTTCAGCCCGCTGCCCAATTTAGAGCACCTCGGTTTGAACCACTTTATGTCAACGAAAGGGATTTTTGATTGCTATCTTTAAAAGCAAATAGAGCTTTTTATGATAAACTTGACGTCTGGTATAAATGACGTCTGATGTCTTGATGTCTGGCTTAAACAAGCCTGTTGCACAGACTCGTGATAACCCGAAGTTTTGCGAATGTTTTGCTACAGCTGAAGCGTTTGTTGCCTTCGTCATAATGGCCTGACGGGATAATTTCCTCAACGGGATAATCACCAACCCCATCTTACTCTGCTACCTTTTTCACACCACAGCTCAAAATATCTCTCCTCGCTCGTTTTGAGACGCCGAATGCGCGCATTTTTTTTTACAAATTAAAGCGTTTGTCGCCGTGTAAATAATAGTCTTACACGTATTTGTAAATGCCAATTTCACCTTCACCGAACCACTTTTGCACTTCCTTTGTGTTTCCTGTAAGATCTCAAATGTCACTACTTCGAGCACCACACCTTAGCAATGTGCTCGCGTCGCAGGTACGTGCAAATTTGAATGAAACGTGATTATCGGTAGCAACATTTTAAACAGCAAACTTCCATATCGGCTATTCAGACTGGAACTAGGCTCTCTACGGTTTCCTTAAGCTTCCCAAAATGGTTACACAACTCCTGACTAAACCTGGGTTCCCGGGTTCGCCTGGCCGATCCAAGGCCCAATCCTTGTGGCCGTGCGTTTCAGTCAGTGGCAAATCACGGCACATCGCCACTGAAATTCGCGGGAGGACAGTTTCTCCTTTCTCGTTTTATTCTTACCGTCTTTAACTGGAACAGAGGTAGGAAGCTACCAGAAAATGCAGTTCTCTTTACATTTTGAGTTAATTCATTTAACACGTGTCCGGATGGTCGGCTCATTATTTTTCGATCGGGGTGACCATACAGGAACGCAACGTCGAGAGTCTGCGATGACAATAGTTTTATTTCGAAGCTCACGAAGCATGGAAGAGTGTATTCGTGACTGCCGGTCGTGGGAACCAATACAAAAATGAGTGACCAATAATAGTTATGTCGTCATGAGGGCTACAGCACGACACGATTTCTCTAACGGCATGTTAGAGCAATCGTGTCGTGCTGTATTTTTATCTGGCCGATAAAAAAATATTGAAGCACCAACGCAGTTAATGTACGGTTGAACACTGCACTTCGACTTGGCGCAGAGCACGCTTAGCCTTGACACGACACTTGTGACACACATGACACTTGTCTTCTTGACTTGACACATAACACCTATCTTCCACGTCATTGGGCGTTGGCGCGCAACTGTGTGTGGAAAACAACTTCATGAGACATGGGCGCAAAATTGCATGGCAATCCGGCGCGTCCTGAAGCGCCAATCATCACCATCGCCCTGGGGTATTCGATGCATTACCGTGCATCCACGGGAGGGCCACCTCGCCGCTGAGATCAAACGGCCTCATCACAGCCGTCGACAGAAAGAAGTTGTCTTCGATACACAGCGACATAGACATCGACGGAACCATTCTCAACCGTGCGTGCCGTCCTCAGAGCACCAACACCACATGCTAAGAATGGATGCATTCAACGTTGTGATGAACTGCTGAGAAACGTTCCAAGCATGGATCACGTTAGCACAGTAACCCAATCACGACGTTAGCGCGACATACTTTCTTCTCAAAGTTTGAGATGTCGAGTCCCCACATAACAGGTGTCAACAGGTGTCGAGTTCCCACATAGGATAACAGGTGGACTATGCAATGACTAGTCAGGCAAAGTAAGTGGCAGTTTGGTGATAACCAAAGTCACCAGATCTTTTGGCAAGCCCCTGCCTTAGACCATCGTTGGTCTTATAAACCACATTAGGGCACGTTACATCTGCAACGTGCAAGGCTAGCGCGTTGAGAAGAAGAGAGGACATTGCGAAGCAGCATTTGTGTGCAATCAAGCACTAACAAGCCCGTTAAATGACTCGTCAGGGTCCTTTTGCGAGCGCCAACATGCCTGCAAGCCTTTATTACCCACTAGATATTCGAACATCTATCACGATAGCCAGTTCTTTTCAGCAAGAGTGATGCACGGTACCTTGCTGTAATGTCAGGGAGAGCGCAGCGGGAGGATTTCCCCAAAAATTTGCATTTCACCAAAATTTACAACATTTTACCAAAAATTTACCCGCCGATTTCAACTCTTAAAGCATCAGAATATTCACCAGCACAAGTCCGTCAAATGTCCTGAAAAATTAAGGTCACCTAATGCGGAATATTTAGGAAACAAAGTCCATAACGGAAACAATTATTGCCTTTAGAGGTGAAGTTTTCTATTTAGTTAGAGGCTCCAAACTTGGACACCAGACCCCCCAACTTTGACGGAAAGTGAGCAAACTCCGGCGAGAAACCCGTCCATTGGCGAATTTTTGTGGCAACTTTCATCATGGCCGGCACATCTTGTTGACAGCCCCCCCCCCCTGGTTCGAGCTTATAACATCGATCAACACCAAATCTTCACCATTCGATGTCACTTGGTAGATTGTTTACACTTAACAAAACAAAGAAACCTTGGGTCAGGTCAAGGGTCGTCAAAAAAAAAACACGGACAACTAAGTTTGCAGACAACCCTATACTCCTCGCGTAGGGGACTGATCGACACAAAACCTTCACCAACTGATGCTCCATAATCAATATCATATCCTGTCCAGAACATAGTGACCTTGGGTCAAGTTCAAGAGTCACCGAAAAAGCCCAATACTACCAAACTTGGCTGCAGACAGTCCCATGCTCCGAGCCTTCTGCTATCGATCGGCACAAAAGCCCTACCAATCGATGCGTCATCGTCGATATCCCATCCTTTCAACCTTTCAAGCACATCATAGCCGTAAGGTGCTTAAACCTAACCGAATTCGGTCAGGTGATAGGTCACAGAAACGCCCCAAAGCCACCATAACTGGCTGCAGAAAACCCCATACTCCGAACTGTTGGGATCGATCGGCACACAACCTTCATCAATTGATTTGTCGTAGTCCATATCCTATCCTTCTCATAACATGCTGACCTTAAGCCAGATCAATGGTCATCAAAAACTGCCGAATCCAACTGAAATAAGTTTGCTGGCAGCACCATACCCGAGCTTATGGGACTCACAGGCTAGCTTTTTACGGCTCAGCTCCCACCCCATGAAACTCACTGCGAAACATCACCCGTCGACCCTCATATTTTTGTTGTATGAGGTGGCCACCTTACAACATATGATGTATGCTCCCAATCCAATGATAACACATTCTATGCAATAGATGTAGGGACCCTGGAACGAATTTTTCGTCCCAAATAGTGTCGAGTTCCACATCTTTCTTGTCCTCCTTTGTTTTCAGCTGTTGAGAAAGCCAGCGGTAAGCGACAAATCATATTTGCGCCATATGAAATCCTGCTGTGCAGGGTCTGCTTTAAACTGGCTACTGTACGCTGCTCCACTGCCCCGAATCGACACCATGCTTGCGGCTGGCAGAATTCGAGAGCCAATGACCAATGAGATGGACGGCTTTCCGACTGTCATCAATGCGCCATAATCGGCTGGCGGGACGGCTGAGAACAGGTCCCATTTCCAATTAGCGTCTCTTGTTTACACCTTGCAATTGAGGGAGCCAGTGTGTGGAGAAATGGCGAACGTGAGGGACAGTGATACATCGCTGTGGCTTCATAACAAGCTAGGAACTTCTAATGACACCTGGATAGGAGGTTCGATATGCTCCCAGCTTAATGCATCTGTTCTAAGAAATATCCGAGAATGTTTTGTGGATTTGCAGACTCAGGTAAAGCTGAAACTACTGTTGGCACTTTTGCACACCCCAAGGAGGAACGTAGAAGAGGTGAGTACCTTTTTGTTATTGGAAAGTTCTGGAGTGCTCAAACCACCAGGTGTATATGTCATACCAAGAGTGTAGTTTCCTGTTCAGTTGGAGTCTCGCTCCACCCCCCCCCCCCCGCCTTCCTCCACCTTAACCCAACTTGGGCTCCAGCGCGCTCAACTTTGAGAAAAGTGGGCCATATCCATAGAGAGGCCTATTTGTCAGTAATTTTGTGCACAATTTCCATCATTTTTCACTGTGCAGGGTCCCAGCCCTCAACTTAGTTGGCAAAACTACTGCCTTTTATCATGACTCAAGTGGAGTCGTGCAGTGACTAACACAATGTGAGATGTAACTAAGGTTGCAAAATGACAGTATTGAGTGTACCCAATTAAAATCAGTTTCATGGAAAGATAGTTTTGGCATAACACCACTGTCATGCCAAAGTCTTAACATGATACATAAAACTTGCATGCCTAGTTGAAGGATTGGTTCCTTGTGTGCTGACATTTGTGCATTCATCCCACCTATAAATCTCAATGATGAAATTGTGCAAGGCAATGTGTAGGAAGCAACACATATCTTGACCAAAACTGTGTGTAGTGATGCATTCATTGCAGCAAAAGCATGAAGCTATTGCCTATGAGTTGTTACAAGTTGTGTTCAAATGAATCATCCTCCAGATACCATATATCACTATTGTGCAGAGGAGTGCTACATGCTAGAGTCATGATGTATAGATGTGGGTAACAATAGTAAGGTTACTTGCATTTTATGGCTGGTATACTGCCATGCTTATTCCCAATAGAAAGCATAGCAATTACTACAGAATGCTATTTGCACATGCCACATGGGCATTTACCAGCACCTTCTCTTTGATGCCACACACAGTGCTTTTAACGCACATCATTATAGCATGTGAGTTTGTGTATGATGCATTGCCTCGGGAGCTATTCCAGTAAGAAATGACATTACCAGCCTGATAAAATTTGGCCTGATCTAAACCAACTTTACCTAACCTAACCTGACCTGAACTGACCTGACTGGATTTGACCACATCTGACCTGACCTGATATGATCTGATATAACCTATCCTCACCTAACCTAAGGCTTTTCATGGGATCAAATCTGATGCAGGCCTACCCCATGCTTGGCTGACTTGGCAAACAGTTAATGATCAGCCTCATCTTTTAATGCCGTCATGTACTTTGAAGATCTTCTTTGGTATGAGATCATAGTTATTTCATTTTCAAGCAGAAGATATTGCAGTTTTGCTGTTTTTTAAGTATTGTTGGTATTGTATGGTCAAAAAGGCAATCTTATACACAGTTTTAGTTTGAATAGTGGTAAAAATTTCCATTGATTTCCATGCTTGATATGTTATCTGAACATTTGTCTAATCATGTCACATGCAATTTTGTTGAAACAACCAGCTGATAAAAGTATTGAAGCCAGCACATACCCCTGCAATCAGCAACTCCTGTGCTGGATTAGGGCATCCTTTTTGGAACAGAGAACCATGTTTTGGAATAAAGAGCACCTTTGTGGGGTTAAGAAGACCCCTGTATTAGCCAGTAGGTCTGTATTTTGGATCATTTTAAGTGCCAATATTTCTTAAACTAGATATCCTTGATACATGCAAAAATTTGATAAGGTGTATGTGCCCCTGGTGTCCCCACCCTTGACACTGCCCAGGAGCCCCCTAAAATCCTGCCTTTTCCCCAATTAAAGGGTTGTGGCATGCCAAACAGGAGAAAATGGCTAAACCTTCCCTCAAAATATGCTGTAAAATGCCTTTCTCTCAGATTTTACACATTTTCTTCTCCATGTTGCTAGGGCTGAAGTGCCACAAGTGAACAGGATACTACACCCCTGGTCCAGTCTATCCCAGAGATTCCTTATGGCTTCAGCATGTATATATTTGTCCAAGTATTGCAGGCTGGCTTGATGTCCCTCATGAATTCAGCAAGTCTCAAGGGCATCCCACGCCCTGTCGCGATGCCGTGTCATGAGTTGCTTGGTTGTTTGGAGATCTGCTTCATCATTTTGGAGCTCACTAACATTATCAGAACAATGTCATGTTTGCACAAACAGTGGAAGGGAAGAGGAGGTTCCACTGTCCATACGGTAGTGATTACATTGCTTGAATTTTTTGCAGTGGAAGGTGGACATCGAAGAGATACTGGAAATCGCAGCCTTAGACTCCGACCAGTGGGTCTCGATGCTGGCAGAAGTCATGAGAACGTTTCCGGCTACCGGAAATCTAAACACAGACATCGGGAAGATGGAGGAAAATAAGAAGATCTTTGGGGATTTGATTGCGGAATTAAAGAGGCTCGGTGCGTTGCTGAGCGTCAGGATGTCGGCCTCTTTCATGCATTAGGCCGCCATTGTGTTTTATGGTGACGTTTTTTATATGATGTACACTCTGTTCGATGCGCTTTAGTACAACAGTTAATTAGCGGCCAGATTGATGATATGGTGACCAGCACTGGGCTGACCAATTTAGCCACCCGCCCCCCATCGCCGCATTCAAGCCAGCGAGATTGTATGCGGCTGTTGTGAGTTGCGCGTCTCTGACTTTTGGCCTTGTGTTTTCAGTGAAGAAAAATCTCGACTTGGATCTGCTACCACTGGAGTGTCACTACCTCAACAAGGCTGCGTTGGTCGCCTCGGTTGGCCAGATTGTAAGTCAAGCGTGTTGGTCCAGCAGTGTGTCCAACCACTTCAGGCTCTTTTTAAATGCGAGGCTGGTGGATCTGTGGTAAGGTGGTACAGTGGTCTATAAAGACTTCGGTGCATATTGACCAAGAACAGTCGCGTTTGTCGGTTTGTGGTGGGTGTTTGTGGGTGCTGTCACCAGCACAACAAACAGTGCAAGATCAGGTTTAAGGGGCATCAGGAGTGTAGTGGTTGAGCTGCTCATATGGGCGACCAGAGTTGCGGGGGTTGGATGCCCTGCGCTGCCCGCCCTTCCCGCGTGGGTGAGAGGCAGGCGGCGCCGTATCGCATCAGCAGCCGGGTGCGTCGCTGAGCCCCAGTGCCACATGATGAGCTTTTACATTATGTTTGCTGGTGTTTCGTGCTTACTGGCTAGTTTCGGTAGAGCAACACATAGCTTTCGCAAAGCTCTTTGCATATATATTTTTTGTCGCTGGAAATAGACGGAAGTTTGCTGGCTGGAGACGTTCCTGAATATCGGCGATAAGCAGAATGGGAGTATCCATTGCAGTTTGTCGCTCGCTTGCTGCCGCCTGGCTGCTGATGGGGATGCGTACCAACTGATTCTGCCGTGGGTGTGCTTCATAGCTGTTGCTGCTTATGCCAGCGCCAAAACAGCCTGCTTCACAAATTGATGGCATCTCGACCCATGTCCATAATCCCGGCTGCCTCGGCACTCTCGAATTTGTCGGCACTGCGGCTGTGCCATAAGTCCTGCGTTGTTCAGCTGAGTCAGCCAGCAGGGCGCACTCTCGAACATTCCACGGTCCTGCCGCAGATCCAACCCGAGAAGCACTTCGCGCTGCGACGCAAGCCCAAGTCGGCGGCGCTGAAGGTGGAGTTGCTGCAGAAGGTCAAGGACGCCAGTCTGCAGGTCAAGAAGAACGTCATGCCCAGCGTTCCCGTCCGCTCGCGAGGCATGCCGCGCAAAATGGAGAATGCCAGTAAGTGGCGGACAGACGGCCGAGGAGCGGAGGCTGGACGGAGGCGTGGCGGGGTATTCCGCTGTTACGCTTACCGGCTTGTGGCATGACTTATTACGTACAGCCACGTTGTGTACATGCCAATCACGCCGGGACTGTGGCTGACTGCTTGCTGGTGGAAAGTCGCGGTCATGGTTTTGCGAGAAGGAAGTCTGTTACACCTCAATACCTGACAACACAATTTCTTTTAACTTCCGAAGGGCTCAGTCTTAGGTATATCCACCACGCAGGGTCGTTGGCTTAGCGCAATAGAGCGCCTACCCGGGACCGGCGGCACGATGTGCGGCAGCGTCGTCGGTCGCGGTCCGGGCAGACCTTGCCGGGCTGGCGGCCCGGCCTGGTTTGAGCGCAGTGCGTCTGCCGCAGCGCCGCTCAAAGGCATCCCTAGCCGGATCCCGACCGGCGGCTTCACGGGCACCAGCAACCTGTCGCGGCTGGCGGCGGCCGGCGGCACGCCCGGCCGCCTGGCCCGCACCCCGGCCGGCAGGAAGGAGGGCCGCGTCAAGATGCTCGACATCAACGAGCAGCCCATCGGCGTGCAGCAGATCAAGAAGCGCAAGAAGCTGCCGGGTGAGTGCCCGCCCGGGTCGGCCGTCGTTGCGGCCGGTTGGCGCGCGCGCCGGCTGGAACTTCATCGCGGGACCGTCACTCCCCTGTCTGGGCCGGATTGGTGTAGCGCAGCGGGCACGACAAGGGCGCTGTTTCCATCAGTCTTGATCGCCTCCGTGCAGTGTTGGCGGCATTGAGCGGAGCGCGCAACGCGCTACTCCCCGTGCCTGTCGGCGCCACTTGCACTGACTGCTTCCCTCCCCGCTGCTCCGCCCACAGAGGAGGAGGAGAAGGAGGCGCCGTCGCAGCCTCCACCGGCGGCACCCAAGCGGGCCCGTGTGACGGAGGGCGGGGGCGCCACTCCCGACTACGCGGCCGGCCTGCCGTCCACCAACCCGCCGACGCCGGCGGCCAGCCAGCCGGCGGCCAGTCCGGCGCCGGCCGCGCCCGTCAGCTACGCGCCGCAGCCGGACAACGCGCTCGCCGGCACCGGTCAGTGGCGCGACGGCGCTGGTAAGGTGTCTGCGTGTATTCATCTCACTCGGGCTGGTGTCTGTGTGTGTCCATCTCACTGGGGCTGGTGTCTGCGTGTGTCCATCTCACTGGGGCTGGTGTCTGCGTGTGTCCATCTCACTCGGGCTGGTGTCTATGTGTGTCCATCTCACTGGGGCTGGTGTCTGAGTGTGTCCATCTCACTCGGGCTGATGTCTGCGTGTGTCCATCTCGCTAGGGCTGGTGTCTGAGTGTGTCCATCTCACTGGGGCTGGTGTCTGCATGTGTCCATCTCACTGGGGCTGGTGTCCGCATGCGCCCATCTCACGCGGGGTGGTGTATGCGTGGATCCATCTCACGCGGGGTGGCGTCTGCGTGGGTCCTTATCGCGCAGGGTGGCGTCTGCGTGGGTCCTTACCGCGCAGGGCGGTGTCTGCGTGTGCACGTATCACTGGGTGTTCGATCCTGCCGAAGGCTGGGCCAGATTTGGTGAGGCCAAAGGGCGTGCGGACACAATTGGGTGCAGGCAGTGCTCATGGCGTTACGACCACTCGACAGCATATTGTGTACCACTCGACAGCATACCGTGTAGTCCGCATCACCGCTGATACTGCAGGCCACTTCTCACACGAAGCAATGCACATCGTAGTCACCAGCGATATGACCAAGCTGGTTGGACATGACTTGCTTCAGGCTCCTGGTGGACAACACAAATGGCATTAAGTGGTCACAGCCAAAGCCCTTTTTGTTCGTGACAAAAAGTATTTTTCTTGAAGACTAATCCACATGATGAGGTGTATAAGATGTAACTAAAATAACCTGCGTAAACTCCTTGAACATACAAATCTCATAGCATGTCGCAGGAATCCAGCAGCCTTGCACGCACTGATTATTGTATTAGCATTGTCTTAGGTGAGGTTAAATATGCTGTGGTTGTCAGTAGCTCCTTTGCATTTTGTTTTCGGTGATGAGTGATCTCGCATCCCCGCCTTCTCCCACTAACACCGGTACATGGTTGTTGACGCCGACGGGCCGTTCGGCAGACATTCCGTCCGTGGCGTCCCAGGAGCTGGCCGACACCGCCGACTAGCCGGCCGCAGCCGGCCGCGCCCGACGCGGTACAGGCGGCGCCGGCCATGTACGCGCCGCAACAAGGACAACCGCAGGTGAGGTACCGGCTCCTGAGACAGGCTGAGCCGCGGGTGAGGTACCGGCTCCTGAGCCAGGCTCAGCCGCGGGTGAGGCACCGGCTCCCGAGCCAGGCTGAGCCGCAGGTGAGGCACTGGCTCCTGAGCCAGGCTGAGCCGCAGGTGAAGCACTGGCTCCTGAGACAGGCTGAGCCGCAGGTGAGGCACTGGCTCCTGAGACAGGCTGAGCCGCATGTGAGGCACCGGCCCATGAGACAGGCTGAGCTGCAGGTGAGGCACCAGCCCATGAGACAGGCTGAGCTGCAGGTGAGGCACCGGCCGCTGAGACAGGCTGAGTCGCAGGTGAGGCACCGGCTCCTGAGACAGGCTGAGCTGCAGGTGAGGCACCGGCTCGTGAGTCAGGCTGAGCTGCAGGTGAGGCACTGGCTCCTGAGACAGGCTCAGCCGCATGTGAGGCGCAGGCTCGTGAGCCAGGCTGGGCTGCAGGTGAGGCACTGGCTCCTGAGCCAGGCTCAGCCGCAGGTGAGGCACCGACTCCTGAGACAGGCTGAGCCGCAGGTGAAGCACTGGCTCCTGAGCCAGGCTGGGCCGGAATTGAGGCACCGACGGGAATACATAAATAGGGTCATGTCATGCCTTGTCGTTGTTTTACGGCGCCCTTTGCTACTGGGACCCGATGATGTCGCATGCTGCCCATCCTGGCAGAAAGGCGAGCACCGCGCGAAGTCGAGCCCCTTACCTCCGGTTTCCAAGGGGTGAATTTCAGCCACTGCTGTACGGCTACCCAGTAATGCACAGGGAATGGAACGTTAGCGGACAAGAAAAGGCCGTTCGTTTTAACTCCAGAGCAAAACTGTGGCAATTGTCGCGCGGGCCCACTGCAATACTGAACATGGCGAGCACAGGGTGTCAGGGCACGTTCAAGCATAAACATTGGGGAGTCCCCTGTGTACATTTGTAAAGTTACCACTCGGTTAGTGCTTAAAGGAAGCCGCGGAGATTGCACCAACAGTATTCTTGCAAAGATGTGTCCCTACGGCCTATTTTCCGTGTTGTTACAGTGTTCATTCCGTTTGCAGATAATCTCGCAGCAGACGTATCAGCCCGTGCAGCAGGCGGCGGGTATGAGCCCTCACAATCTCTCGGATCCAGTGCAGCAGGTTGGTCCTGATGTGCGCAGAGGCAGTCGTCGCTCACATTGTATCATCACATCACATCACTCAACGCGTGTAGACGTGAGCCCGCAGGTCGAGACGTTACACGAGGGCGAGGACATGTCCTCATTTTTGTGCGGCTTTGGTGGATATTGACCACGGGTAGCCTGAACGGGATTCGTTTGGTCGTTAGGCCGTCGTTAGGTCGTGAAGATGGCATGTTCTGTGCGCCCGATCTTCTGCACGTGTTGGATACCCTCCAATACCTGCTTGTTTTACCTGTGGTCATTTTGGCAGTTGTGTTATTGAAATGCGGTACAAATGTAACAGTTTGTAGCGGACGGGGCATTATTCCATCATGCAGCTCCGTTGTGTTTCACTGGGTGGGCGCGGTGGATACCAGTTTGCTGTCGCCAGGCTGTGGGCGGCCGAGGATGTCGCGGCCGTCTTCCCTCCCGGGGCGCCCGGTCGTCCGGTACGGCGCTCGTGTGTGTATGACGTTGCTGTCCTCCTGCGCTCGACAGCAGATGCTGCTGCGACGGGTGGTGAGCGGCCCGCAGCAGCAGCAGCAGCAGCCGCAGCAGCAGGCGCAGCAGCAACAGCAGGTCACCATCATCGCCCAGCCTCAGGTCAGCCGTCGGACAGTCCGGCTGTCGGCTCCGGGCCCGCCACTGGTCTGGCACCGGCAGCCAGCCGGCCGACACCGGCCCAGCCGATGGGACATGTGCTCTAGTGACGACTTCGTCTTCCGTGCGCACAGCGGGTTAACGAAGAGTCCCAATAATTTGCTTAAGTTTTAGGGCAGCTGAGCGAAGGAAGCATGAGAAAGCACTTGATACTCACTTTGTCGTAACATTTTCTTCGTTCCTTGACAAAAACAATGCATACCAACATTTACAACTCACGAAGAATCTAATACGAGTAATTTGTTATCACTACTAATAATTCGTGTGATGCATGTTATGTCGGGAGTTGAAGGTTTCGCTAAACAGAAGGACGCTCGAAGGAACGTTGTAGTTATAGTTTAAATGTTATGTTTGACGTTGTACGTGCTACTTATATTTCTTAATGCCTCAGTGGCATCCACTTCTTTTAATGAATCATTCCTCAAACCACAACGTAAGAGGTTGATGAACAAGCACAGATGTATGTAACCATAGTCAATTCCACTTCCAACTGAAAAGTGAGAAATCTGTGAACAAAGCTGTACATTTTGTTTTTTTACCAATTGCAGCAAATGTATGCATGAGTGTATTGACACGACCCTGAGCTGTTCCACGAACACTTACAATGTGATATGGTACCTCCGCACAGACTGATGATCCCGTCATATCATTGGCATTGGGATATTTCTGAAATGATTACTCGCATGGCGAAGACTTCAAATATCGAAACAAAAGCCGTCCGTTAGTCAGTGTGGTGCGGGTGTTTTCGTCGCGTTCCTGCCACGTCTCTACTTCCAATGCTGCCTCACCACCTGTACCTCGTGTCTTGGCGCTCATGCCTGTTGACTGACTGCGCCGTTTATGTGGCGTCGGACAGGCCAACGCCCAGCGGCGCAACCTGACGCTGACACGGGAGCAGATGCTGGAGGCGCAGGAGATGTTCCGCACCGCCAACAAAGTCACGCGGCCGGAGAAGGCGCTCATCCTGGGCTTCATCGCCGGCTCCCGAGGTGAGAGTTCGGTCGGGTCGGGTCGGGTCGGGTCGGGTCGGGTCGGGTCGGGTCGGGTCGGGTCGGGTCGGGTCGGGTCGGGTCGGGTCGTCAGCTGTCACGCCGCTTACGATGGTGAAGCCCGTCGGACAAACATGTTTCAAAATAGCCCATGTTGTGTGCATATCTTTTGTCGCGTTGCATGACTTTAAAACCTTGGTTAGTTGCACTAGAGATGGACTGGGAAGGCGTCCGGGTCAGTGCCAGAAGCTTTGGTGTTATAGTATAAACTAACCGATGAGAACCATGTCGGTACACCACCATGTGCGTTGGCCCAGTGGCATCCGTGTAGCTATACTTTTCATTTAGACATATTTTGATGCGAGATAAAGCGCACTGCCATTTGGACCGTCATGGATGGTGGTCCGCGGAGTTCGATGCTGTATGTGTTACGGTTCCGTTTGGGACCTGTCCGGTGACGCTCACACGGACGCCGGGTGGCGCCCGGTGCCGCCCGCCCGCTGCGGGCGGTGAACGTCGCCGTCGGCTCCCGGCTGACTGTCGGCTCGCTGTCGCGTCGGCAGACAACCCGTGCCCGCACCTGGGCAACGTGGTCACCATCAAGCTGTCGGAGAACCAGGAGTCGGTGCCGCAGGGCGACGGCGGCCCGTTCGCGGCCATGGTGGCCGAGACCCACTTCCAGATGAACTACTCCACCGGCGAGTGGAAGCGGATCAAGAAGTTCCGCCGACTGGACGAGGTGGCCGGCTGAGGGGCGGGCCGCGCCGCCGCGCCGCGGGTCGGCGCCGCGGCGCGCCACCGTCCGATCTCGGGCGCGGCTCCTCACCGGCGATGGGCGCGGGTGACCCGCGCCGCTCCAGGCTCGCGTCGGGACAGTCCGCGTTGGCACAGGCTGGCCGGCCGGCCGCGGCCGCGGCCGACGCCCGCGCGGCCGCGCCGCCGGGCTCGATGGCGTGGCTCGCCGCCTCCGAGCGGCGCCTCGCGCGGCCGGTGTTCCGCGCTGTCCGGGCTTCCAACAGTTGTGGCGCAGGGCGCTGGACACTACTGACATCCAGCTCCGTCGGGCGCCGCCTGACGCGCCCGCCCGCGCCGAACAGGATCAACAGGGCGTGCTGTGCTGGGTCTGACCGCGAGCTAAAGTTCAATTTGTTTTGTACTGTCCTCGTACAGCGCCATGTTACCGTGGTGTAGGGAGATGCAGTAATGATTTCCTTTCACGCGCGTTGTTGACATTGTATTCGATCCTAGCTCGACGTAATGACTACTGCTCGTCTTCAAATCATTGTCATGGTTTGTCGGCTAACATGCTCTGTACCAACCAATTCAATATGCTAATATATGTTTGTTTTGATTCATGTGAGATGCTAGATCAATAGTTGTTTTTATTAGTCTTGGCACATAATGGGCTTGAGAACAATCAGAAACTCATAAAGCGCAGGTGCCCATGGCCCCGCCGAGTTGCGCACATCTTCCCATCGGAACTGTATTGAAGATACCAGGAACCAGGAGACACCATAGGAGATACCACGAACCAGGAGATGCCGGGAACTGCGGTTCGCGCTCCGGTTACCCGCACGCGCGGGCTTTTTTCAACGCAAGAATGCAATGCCGTCTGCCGACGGTTGTGAGACTGACACAGTGGATATTGGCCTATATAGTGATTGTGAAAACCCGTTAAGATCATATAATGCAGCGGGGATCAGAAATCGTATACAGTGTAGAAAGACGTTACAATTACGAACTACGATGACTAAGACGTCGCATGAAATGCGTAAGACTGGAGATGCCATTTCTAGGAGTTCTTGTCCAAAGTCAAAGCCAAAATCCCAGGATGGACCAGCTGTCTGTACCAAGTGTCCAGAAAATCAGCTGCCCAAAAAATTTCCGAGTTAAAATCAAATCACTACCAATAACCAACAATCCTCTCATTACCCGCGTGGCTGCATTCCCTCACTAGAAACGCGTGAAAAAAGGATTGTCGAAGTAATGTGTATCTCAGGATTTCGTGCAAAAATTCACAATTCGCACCGATGTCCGCTAAGCTTGACTATCGCTAAGCTAGACGACGCCAGCTTATTCGGGAGGTCAGAGGCAACGAATTTAGTCCAGCTACAAGTAATGAGCATCACAGGCTCTCCTGAAGACGAACATCAATGCCCCTTATTAAGGAAACATTCTACCTCATGTTTCAAAAATAAATATACCCTGGCGTGCCCTATCATCAGATTGCTGACGTACCATAATAAAATAATTTTGACAACGAACAGCAGTGAATAAGCTGAAATGCGTGACAAGTTGTAGAATGTCGTCGGCTGTCCCAACTATTCCCAATTTGCTTTGTTCTTCTCAATGTAATTTCCAACCCGGACTTTTGATTTGTTTTAATGCCAAAATTTACAATGCATTCGGCACCTTTGCTCACGACGGTCTGATTCACCGACAAATGGAGTCAGTGCGGCATATCGTAAACCAACGCGCGTTTGCTCAAGAACAAATTATTATCACTTAAGCTAAGCCCGAACAAACTCGTGTCTGGTGACGACCGTTCAGAACAATTGACCTTGCTTAGTGATGAGGCCTGACATGTCGCGATGGGAATCTGTGAAGGACGGCGGCGGATACCGTGAAGCCACATGACCTCGTGTAGGAAAAGGTCACTTCCAATAATCCCACCCGACCCGTTGCCTGCTCGCCCAATTCTTGTGAGCCTCTGTGACAAAATGTCTTCGGCAAGTCGTTCATCAAAGGCGCGAGTGTGGACTTGAACGACTAGATTTCATGACACGGAAACCTCTGCAAAGCACGGGTTATATTTTACTTCCGTTCGCCATCGAATACACGCATAGGATGCCAGAGAAGTGCACTTGAAGGCCAATACAAACTCCGGGTTCCACGCAGAATGGTGGAGGAATGCCACTTTCCCCAACAGCGACAACAGAAATACGCCGAGTTTTTTTGTCCACGCTTTCCGTACTGTACCCTAAACCTACTCCACCCCAATTCCCACCAGTCATCACTGTCACGCTTTCCTTTTCTTGCTGACTTTTTTATTACCCTTCTTCAGGGGTCGTTTCTTGGATTTAGCAGAACGCCGCACCTTGACAGGTTCCTCAGTCTCCAATCCGCTGTCTTCCGATGACTCCGATTTCTTTTCGACTTCCAAGACACCCTCCTCCATCGTGTCAGCTTCTGCTTTCACTGAAGTCTCACCTTCGTCCTTGGTCGCCACCGTCGAACTCTTGACGGCATCCATGAACAGGTCCTCGTCGGGGTAGTCGGTCGGCGGAGCGCTGCCGCTCGAGCGCGACGTCACCTTCATGCAGGCGGCTGTGTAGTCGAGGAAGGTGATGCTCTGTTGAAGCCGACTGATGCGCTCCAGGTGGCGCTCGGTGTAGGGCAGCAGGCCCTCCAGCAGGGAGCGGAAGCTGGGGAGCCGGCGCCATGCCTCGGGGGGCAACAGACGCAGCAGCAAGTTCACTACCAGCTGCGCCTCGTGGCAGTGCTTGCTGTTGGTGTTCCACTCCACCACGAAGTGAAGCAGATCGTCCAACTGGTCGTCCCGCAGCTGCTTCAGGATGCCGGTCAGATGGTCGGCTGAACCACTCTCGCGCCGCAGCTCCTTCAGGATCTGCAGACAGCGGAACGGCCGCTTCAGCTTGATGGCCAGCTTGAGGGCGCGCAGCCACTGACGCTGCTGCACGAGGTTGCTGAGCGCCTGCTCCTGAGTGGCGCGCAGCGCGGCCGCCTCGGCGTCCACCTTGGCCTCCTCCTCGGAGACGTCGCGCCAGACAAGGAGCGAGGAGTCGGCGCCGCCTGAGACGAGGCAGCGCTCATCACCACGCACCGCCAGCGCCCACACCTTAGCCTCGTGCTCGCTGCACGTCTGCACGCACTCGTTGGCCTTGACGCTCCACAGTTTGAGCAGACCATCGGCCGAGCAGGTGAGCAGCTGCATACCGCGGCACAGGAACGCCACGCGCAGCACTGACGAGTCGTGGCCCTCGAACGTCTTGACGCAGCTGAAGTCGGCGATGGACCAGAGCCGGACAGTGCCGTCGGCCGAGGCCGTCGCCACGATCTGGTCCACGGGCGAAAAGGCCACCGACCAGACACCGCGACGGTGGCCGCGAAGCACGCCGGCCAGCGCCAGCCCGTCGGCGCTGTACAGGCGCGCTGTCTTGTCCTGGCTGGCCGTGGCCACCAGCCGGTCGTTGGGCGACACCGCCACAGAGTTGACGTCCTTGTCGTGCGCGATCTCAGTGCGCCGGCAGTGCAGAGTCGCCGGCTTCGGCGCCGGCGCCGGCTTCTTCAGCCAGCCGAGAACCGACGCCGGAACATCCCACATCTTGACGCACTTGTCTTCCGCGCCCGACACGACGAAGCCGGTGGTCAGCTGACTCCAGCAGACTGACGTCACAGACGCCGTGTGTCCCGGCCCGACGGCCAGGCACAATGCTTTCTGGAAGGTGTCCAGGTACCACAGACGTATCGTGTTGTCTTTGGAGCTCGACGCAAACAGGTTCTTGTTGCTGGCAGACACAGAGAGAGAAAGGACAGTGTCTGCGTGACCTTTGACAAGCTGGCAGTCAAACGTAGACACGTCATATATCTTGATGATTGAACTGTTTGTGGCAACAGCTATGTGTGTTTCTCCATCACCACAAAATACTACATCCAAGATCTCATCACTAAATCCAACATACTGTCGCTTCAACTCCATTGATACCAGGTCATACATGAGGATATTATGCTCATGATTCAGTACTGTCAAGGTCTTGCTCATCTCACTCTGGCGCAACTGACAGATGACTGATGAGTGTGAGCCGGAGGCTTCCTCCTGCATGTAAACACATTCAGACGTAGCCAAGTTCCAGATTCTCAGAACCCCACGTTCTCCACCAGTGATGGCAAGAGCAGCGCTGCCACCCTTGATGCCCGCCACAGACACACCTGGTGGGACAAGGACAGCACTCTCCATCACCTCATAGGTTGGCACTGTTCGAACCAGTGTTCCATCCCGTAGGTCCCAAAGCATCAACACCTTGTCACGGCTGCAGGTCAACAGCTGATGCTGGGACTTGTTGATACTGATGCTGGTTACCTTGCTGAAATGACCACGCAGCTCTTGCACAATGTCGGATGATGACAGGTTCCAGCAGCGTACCACAGAATCATCCCCAGAAGCATATATGAATATCTCATTATTGCTTTGATGGAACTCAATTGCACTGATCACACCCACAGATCCTTTCAAGTTATGGGTGCAGTACTGGCGGACTGTATCCCACACCTTGATGGTTCCATCCACTCCTCCACTAGCAACTAGGGTGGTGGTCTCATCAAAGCACAAAACAGGGATGGGTCCAGAATGCAGTGACTTCCATACACGCTGGACCTCATTCTTCTTCCAATCCCAGAGACGCAGCAGCCCAGAGGTGTGGCTCGTGACCAAAACATCTTCACTGGGACTGAGTTCCATGGTGTATATTGGGTCATCTTTGGCTTCTAGAGCATGAAGAACTTGTCCTGTTGCACAGCTCATGACATTCACTTTGTCCCCTGCCTGACATAGTATGTTCTCACCGTTCTTTGTAACCTGGATGTGTGGCTCAGTCAAAAAGGCATCATGCCTGGACGCAAGGCGGAGACGGAGGGCCACGTGTGATTTTTTGTCCATTGCACTTGCTTCTGACATACTGATCGTATGTGCAGCACCGTGGACTCAGGAAACCGCGTGCCCGTGTAAAAACAAGTGCGTCCGTGGTGTACAAGGCAAACTTATCCCTTCATGCCAATGTAGTCAAGAATAACGACCGCAATGCTCCCTGACGCGGGATGCTTGAGCACTGTTCTCTTCTAGGCAACCAAAGCACACCAAGCATCCGCGACACCACTCCCACGCCGTACCCAATGCCCAAACCACGAGCATACGGGCACCGCCAACAGTGCTTCAGCGCGTCCCACGTGCGACCGATTCCGCTATGCACGACAAAAATAGGGTTTTGATGGGGTTTTAGCGCAGGTGCTACAAATATTTCCGTGTCATCTAACACATGCTTATTGACCAGCTAGTGCATGCTACTGATCTCGTGTTTCGTTACAATATAGCTTTTCTTGTATAAAACAAGTTTAAAATATATTTTCCATATATTTATAGCGTTTTTCTAAAGAAAAATTGCACACTGTAAGAGCAGTCTACGAATACCACGTGACAACGGAGCTCATCGGGCAACCTTTCCTAATTGACCGCCTAAGCTGGCTGACGGCTCCATGCTCCAATTCTGTGCAACAAACTGCCACCAAACCCGATTATTAGATTGTTGCAGCCGATAAGGTGCCCCATTCAAGAGGATGATCACCATAGACTGAGTGAAAGCCAACAAAGAATACCCAAATTACTAAAATGGACGGTGGACGATCCCATGCTCCTAGTTTATGTTGGGTGACGAACGGTCGCTTAGGAACGGGTACTGCACCCTGAAGTCGATTCAGAAAAAAATTACGTTTGAGGTGTTTTTACCGAACCAAGATTTTAACCGTCTGAAAAGAGCAAAATTTTACCAAAGTATCGAATGGCTAAGGTTTGGTGGCGACAGGTTTTCAGTTTCGTTAGCTTAGAGTATGCGATCTTTTCAGTTGATTTGTATGCTTAGATAATTTTGGGTAATCTCTGCCCGATTCAAGATAATTTGTACCTATTGCAGTTAATTATTAAAGACGGCACGTCGAATGAAACAGGTTTTGTGATCATCAATTGCTTAGTTTCGGAGCATGGGATAATGGGTAGGCTTACTCAGTTAATTAGTGCCAGTCCATAAGAGCTGCGAAATTGCTCGGAACGGCGGAAACGTTTTACAAAAGCTCGCAGCATTGCTGGGACGGCGCTGGTTGGTGTTTAGGGTACCATAAAGGCGATGATCGGTGAAGGGGCTTGTATGGGCATGTGTCTTCTGGGTTCCCACATAGTATTATTGCATACAATGTCTGGATGCGCACGAGCAATCACTGGAAATGCGTTGTTTCAGGTCTCAAGAGTGCCCGGTGAATCTTTTCACCATTTAGTACATAGCGGGCTGTTGGCGTTCTGTATGAAGACGAATAGCGGTATCTGAATTGAAAAGTATTTTGGCTTTGTGTGGAATAAGAGCGGACCACACAAAGAAAAATGGCTGATGCTACTGCTCGCTCTCTTCAGTATGAGTACAAGGCGGTAAGTCTGCTTACATACTGTGGTATCAAAAGCACCTTCTCTTATTTTGCTGTAAAGATATAGGTCTACAGTCATTGAGTGTGGTCATTTGTGAGATGTGGAATTAACCACACTCAATGGCTATTCTTACATCTAACAAATAATGATGTCATATATGACAAGTGACTGCTATATAGGGGAATAACTTGTTATTTGTCAGACATTTTGTTTTGATCTTCCTTTACATGTGTTTAAAGTGCTCGCAAGCATGTCAAAATTTATGGGATGCGTGCAGTAATAGGAATTTGTCCCAGATCCAAGGGTGTTTGGGTTGAGAAGTGCTTTAATGGATGTGGCATTTTGCGCAAATGCAAGGAGCTCACAACAGTTTAAATGATGTTTACATTACCCTGATATTGGTAGCTTAGTGTGTGTCCATCATCATTGGGGCTTTATAACACACTCAGCTGCTTAGGCATCATGGTATTTCACATGTGCTCAAAATATGGGGCATTCCCTTCTCATCAACCATAAAAAACACTACAAATTTACATGAAAATCATGCTGAATATTCTTCAGTCACTGCAAGGAGATTTTGTGGGAAGCATGATGCTGAACTCTAAACCTTTCTGTTGTTTAGAACATGGATTAGCTTAAAGCTCTGCGAGTTAAGGATTTTAGATCAACAAGGCCCTTAAGGCACTCAGGACCTTAAAGCTCTGAGTGCTTTGGAGGCTGGAATTTAGAGCTGAAAATTTAGAAGTTTTGTTCTTTTAATTTTTTCATGCCTGATGAGATATGCATTTTTAGTGTCTGTACGATGAACAATATCATCCACCTGCAAATATCTGCATAATGCAGTCTACATCTGGTTGGTAGCCAAAAATCTGGACATGCTTTGTGAACTGCTATTTGTTGAATATTAAGACAAATTTAAACTGATGACACGCTTCACATTTTTTTCCAGAATTCCAACCTTGTCCTGCAAACTGACTTGCGTTTGGTGGAGCGACGAGGTCGAGATGAGGCCACTGGTGAGGTTGTCTCCCTAGTTGGAAAGCTGGAGGGCACCCGCATGGGTGACAGAGCTCAAAAGAACAAGCCACAGAAGACAGATGAACGCAAAGTCAAGTGAGAGAATCAAACGTGGTCAGGAGAGTGTGAGAGGGCAGTCAGAATGATCATGTGTCCTCATGCCATGTGTGTACCCAGCATCAGCATGCAGAGTGGTGTATACCTTAAAGAGGTACTTTGGAGGGGGCCTGCTGCCCCACACAGCTGTCTCATTTGGGACCGCTGTAGCTTATCAGAATCAAATTGTAGTAGGATGTGTCATGTCATCATAGTGTTCAGTTTCTATTTTTTGGTGGAGGGGTCCAAGTAGTAATATGCAATTTCACCCTAAGCATGTTGTTATATTTGAGGCTGTAAATGATTGGGATTTATTCATAAGTCAGTGTTATTGTACATGAAATGGAAATTGAGTTTTTAAGTGCTTTGCAGTTTACTTGCTGTTCAAAGAGTTGGCAGCTGATGTGTCACATGCATTTTTAGAGGGAGGAGTGCCCTCGCTGCAGTGGGGCAGTGACTGATTTGTGCTGATTTTGTGCTGTGCAGGCGTCAGAAGCGCGATGAGGCACAGCACGACTTTACCAAGATGCGCGGCACCACACTGCTGTCAGAGGGTGTGGAGGAGATGGTGGGCATTTACTACCGGCCCAAGACACAGGAGACGCGCCACACCTATGAGGTGCTGCTCAGCTTCATCCAGGAGGCCATTGGCGATCAGGTACACACTCCGTTTTTAGCTTGGCAGTTTTTAGACGAGATTCATAGTGTCCATGAGACATCAGAGTGCATCAGACATTTGAATATCACTCCAGGCAGGCTCATATGATGCCTTTGTGGGCAAATGTCAGGTTGCTTTGGTCTGCATCGCCATGACTCTGCGGACGGACGCACTGAACGGTCGGCCTGCCCCGTGGACGCCCCGGATCGTGTGACGTCATGTGTTGCGGTGCCACCTTGGCCTGTGGTGATGACCCGTGTTGTCGGCATGGGGGGGGGGGGGGGAGAGAAGAAGAGAAGGGGGTGTGCGTGGATGGCCGTTGGGGCCTTTGACACAGGCTCTGCTTGCTGTGTGGATCTGGCTAATGCATCAAGATTGTGGAGAGTTGGTTTGGCTCCATTTGCCATAACTTGACAACTCTACCATGAAAGCCGCTATGCGCTATGAAATGGTGAAATTTGAGCATAACCAAACCTTGGACAAAACGAGAGAAACTGGGCAGCCATTTAAACCACTTAAAGTGATGTCGTCCTCGTTTTTTGTTTTCTAGCGCATCAGGTGTTTAACGGCAGAGAGAGGTTCGTAGTTCACACCCCCACCCCCCGCCATGGGATAACCAAAAGTGTCAAAGCTAGCAAAGCCGGAGTGGTTTAATCAGCATTCATTGAGTAAATGTTTTTGTGAATCTGGCCAATGAGGGCGCAAAATAAAATTGTCTCTCAAAGGATGACAGCTCAACGTCTATGCAATTCTGGCACCGTTTACAGCTCTGACGGCGTGGCCGTCGCCCCAGGTAACAGTGCTCGGCGACTGGCCTGTTGCATGTCCATGTCCTGTGGTGGCGTTAGTGATCCAGTTTTTGGCCGTGTTGGCGCCCCATTCTGTGGCCGTGTGAACGTCCTAATCTTTGGCCGTGTGGGCGCCCCAGACTGGCCGTGTGGGCGCCCCAGTCTGTGGCCGTGTGGGCGCCCCAGTCTGTGGTCGTGTGGGCGCCCCAGTCTGTGGCCGTGTGGGCGCCCCAGTCTGTGGCCGTGTGCTGAGCCGAGGGCCGCGCTCCGGCAGCCCCGAGATGTGCTGTGCGGCGCCGCCGACGAGGTGCTGACAGTGCTCAAGAACGATCGCATGAAGGACAAGGAGCGGAAGAAGGAAACCGAGGGCCTGCTGGGCCCGCTGGCCGAGGAGCGGTTTGCTCTGCTGGTCAACCTCGGCAAGAAGATCACCGACTTCGGCACCGAGGTCAAGTCCACCGCCGCAGGTAGGCCGGCCCCTGCAGTGAGTTGCGCTCAGTGCGCTGACGTCCGTGGCGGACCGCGCCGCAGGTGTGGCTTCAGACTGGTGGTTCGGTAGCCACCGCCAATGCGCGACGGTCACGCGTTGCTTTGTTGGCGGTGTCTGCATTCTTATCGTAATTGGCCGCCACTTCTGTGGTGCGCTGGTGTGCGAAATGACGCAGGACGTGGTCGTGCACGGCTGTTGGGCGTGAACGGTGACGTGTTCTGTCGCCGTGTGCCGGCAGCCGACCAGCTGGACGACACGTACGGCGTCAACGTCCAGTTTGAGGAGTCCGAGGACGAGGGTGACAACGAGGACGTGTACGGAGAGGTGCGGGAAGACGACGACGACGAGGAGGGCGAGGAGTCCAAGGCCAACACGGCCATCTCGGCCACCAACGTGAGTCGCCGGGCCGGCCGCCCCCCGGCAGTTCGGCCGCGTCGCACCAGCTTCCGGTAGGAGGGGTTCCGTCACCGAGCTGAGCTGCTGCAGCTTGTAGCGCGTGATGTGATGTCCCACATGACATCACACCACCCTACCGGACAGTAGGCTGAAGGGAGTATCTATAAGACGGCGTTGTCGTACGAAGAACGTTGTAGCCCGGAGCTGTCCACTTAGTTTAAAGCACACCACGTCTGTAATGAGA